TCCTTCATGTAAGCATTCAGTCGTTGCTGCATTTGACGAGAGGGTTTTGAATCCTCTTCCATGTATATAGCATGATTGCAGATTAACAAGCTTATACGTTTCAAGTTAGCGATGGTCCATCTAATAGTGCTTTTATGGCTTTTAAGAACTTCAATCAGTTTAGACTCTTGCAAGTCTCTGAGCTTAGATGAAATTACCACTGGGTATGACTCATCCTCTCCTAGGAATACATATTTGAGGTCAGATGGGAGAGGTTTCAGTTCGGGCTTTGGTGGCCTGACACTTGATGAGAGTGGCTTTGTGCCACTTGGTAAAAGTTCCTCAAATTTGAGGGTTCATGTTTCAACAACATGAATAGGACAATTCTTTGGATTATCATCTGTTGTCTCAGATGTGATGGATTCTGACAAAGAAAGTTCAGTGGAGTTTTCACAGAATGTGTTATTCAAATATTCCTGAACCATCGACTCAATGAAATTTATTTCTCTTTCTTCTTTGTCCTCTCATGGGTGTTTGGTAACATTAAAAATATTCAACTCAAGAGTCATATTCCCAAAGGTTAATTTCATGACCCCATTCCTGCAATTGATTAGTGCATTTGAAGTTGCTAGGAAAGGTCGACCAAGAATTATAGGAATTAGGTTTTTTGAATGCTTTGTTGGCTGAGTGTCTAGAACGATGAAGTCAATAGGGAAGACAAAGTTGTCCAATTGGACAAGTACATCTTCAATAATACCCCTAGAGATTTTTACAGATCTGTCTGCCAACTAGAGTGTGACACAAGTGGGTTTGAGTTCACCCAAACCCAACTACTGGTAGACGAAAAAAAGGAACAAGTTGACATTAGCTCCAAGGTCTAACAGTGCTTGTTCGATTCTGAATTTTCCAATGACACATGACACAGTTGGACACCCAGGATCTTTGTATTTTGAGGGGTTTTGTGTTGAAGTAGGGTACTGACTTGTTCTGTCAGGGAGGCTCTTTTTTGAACATTCTAGCTTCTTTTGACTGTGCACAGGTTTTTCAGAAACTTGGCATAAAATGGAACCTTTTTGATTGCATCCAGACGTGGAATGTTGATTTTTACTTGATTGAAAAGCTCGTAAATTTCAGGCTAATTATTTAACTTTTGTACAATTTTGAGTCTATGAGGAAAAGGAGCAGGAATAGGACACAAGGGTCCCTTTTCTTTTGATAGTTCTGGGTCATGTTCAATCACAAGTTCAGGCTCCTCCTCAATTACAAGTTCAGGCTCTACTGGCTTAGGCTTAACTGGTTCAAGCTCAACTGGTGAGTTAACTAGGATTGACTCATATTTTAGCTTGGGAATTAGCACGTCTCTAATGGTCTTGTCAATCACCTTGCCACTTCTCAGTGTAGTGGCAACTTGGGCTTGGCCTTGTGAAGTTTCCATAATTGTAGGATTTCCCACCTAGAATTGGCCTTGTGGAGGTTTTGGTTGGCCAGAAAACTTGCCCTTCTCATATGTGTTCATGGATTGGGTTAACCTTTGAATGTGGCTTTTAAGGTCCTCAAAAGATTCAGTGATCTGGGTTTTGAAATCAATAAAAGCCTAAGTGGAACTATTGTTATAGTTCATTTGGCTTTGCATGAACTGATTTAGAGTATCCTCAAGGCTCCTTTTTTGTAGTGGTTGGTATGGTTGATACATGAGAGGTCCTTAAGGTGGTGGGGTGTGAATCTTGTTGTTGGTTCATGGGAGTTGGTTGTGTGTTTCTCCAACTAAAGTTCGGGTGATTTCGCCACCTTAGATTATATGTTTCAAAGTATGAGTTGGAGTAAGGCTTGTTGAAGTTAGAAATTGTATTTGTCTAATCCAACAGAACCTTTTTGAATGCTGGAATGGTAAGACACTCCCAATAGGGTGTCTTGTCAGTGCACAGTTCCCATACACTTGTTCTATGGGAGAGCCAACATCAACTTGATGAACCTTTTTCATCTCTAAAGCTTCAAGCTTTCAAGACAGGGGGGACATTTTTGCTCTTAGGTCATCATCATCTTTCAAGATATATTTACCCCCTTGGGAAGTAGATGGTTTGGCTTCAACAATAGCAGAGGAGGCTGAATCCCACATCTTAGAACTATCAGATATGGTGTCAAAAAATTTGAATGCCTCTTTCAGACTCTTGCTCATAAACTCTCTTTAAACCATCATTTCGACAAACTGACATAGTCTAGTGGGCAAGGAGTCATAGAAAAATTCTACCGGAGTCCACTTCTCAAAAGCATGGTGTGGACAGGATTGGAGTAGATCCTTGAATCTCCCCCAACTTTGGTAAAAGGTTTCTCCTTCTTTGACCGAAAAATTCATAATTTGCCTTTTCAATGCATTTGTGTGGGGTAGAGAAAAATTTTTTTTAAAAAATTCATTTTGTAGTGCCCGCCAATTAGGTATTGAAAGAGTTTTTAAAGAATTTAGCCATTGTTTAGCTTTATCCTTTAAAGAAAATGAAAAAAGTTTCATTTTGGCTAATTCAGAATTGTCTTGAAATGTTCCACATACTTCCTCAAACTCTTTTATGTGTAGATATGTGTTTTCTGTTTCGAGTCCATGGAATTAAGAGAGTAGTTGAACTATCCCTGTCTTTATAGTAAAGAGAGGTGCATCTTTGGGAAAGATAAAACAAGAGAGGACACTATTTCTCGTGGGATTTAAGTAATCTTGCAGAGTTTGAATGTTAGGCACTTTCCCCTCTCTCACAGGAATTTCTCTTCGTCTCTCATCATTTGCCATTTTACTTTCACAAAAGTCTGCTACTGATCTAGATGAAGGTGATTCTAGTTGATTCACAGATCCAGGAGATTCTACTGACAAATTTTGATATTTAGGAGCGTCCTCAGACATAAAATTAAAACAAATTTATACACAGTGAAGCAAGTATCTATACAAAAAGAAAGGTCATTTTACCTTTTACCTTAAAATACATTTTATGGTTCCCCAGCAACGAAGCTAAAAACTTGACTTGATCCAAAATGTGTACACCCAAGTGCAGGCGGTCAAGCTGTAGTAATAATCCAGTTAAGTCCGAAGTCGAATCCACAGGGAACTATGATTGGTGTTTTGAAGTGAGCAGTAATAGAGACCAAGTAACTGGAAACTTTAAGAGTTTGAAGTTATGGGATTTTCTAAATAGAATATAAGATTCTTTTCAAGAGTTTTCTAGACAAAATATAAGATAAATTCAAATGTGAAACAATCACTATTTAGCTTGAGGATCAGAATATGTAAGTAATCATCCGGTTTGTTATACTTGTGCTTTATAACTTAATTAACTCCAGTGTCAACAACAAGTTAATCGAAAGATAAAGATGGATTATGTGAATTAAGCACATGGTTTCGATGCCTTCCTAGAAGTTTACAAGAATTGTCTGTGCTGAGACTCTACCCGTCTACAAACAAGCAAGTGTTTCTATAAGACATCCAACAATGACATTAATGTTTCATTTTTTTAGATAAAACACAATAATGGTGAATATTGAGATATTGTCATGAAGATCTAGCCAGAGTATTTGCCTTGAACCAACAAGTCTTTTTATGCAAGAGTCATCCATGACATAAAGAGACCTTACGGTTATACACAGTACCTTAACTTTAGTAGATACATTCAATCATTCAATGAGCAAGTGAAATATAAAACATTAAAGCATAAGAAATATACATATATAACTTTCGGATAATTTATACATATTCATCACCTCATTAAAGAGCGAATGAGAAACTACTCACTCTTCATGGCTTTGGTAAAACTAGAAAAGTAAGTGATACTCATCCCTCCAAATGGGGAACTCACAAGATAAAGTGCAATAAGCGAAGAGCTGATATTCAATAAAGAATGAGTGATATTCTTATTAATTAGTTATATTCTTCATACTAATTATTAATATTTTTCTTACTAATTATTTGATTAGTGATATTCTTCATATCTGCATGGTATAGGAAAGCTTTTATACTATTTTGAAATCTTATTTTTCATAACATATTTCTTGGATGAAACAGAAATACATACACAAGAATTCTGAAAAACCTAACAAATTATTGAAACTTGTAAATTTTCTAGTTATGAAAAGAAGAATATAAATGCAAGAAAAAACCAATAAGGAGAAAATTTGGAAATTATCTTAAAAGAAAATAACATGTTTACGAATTTTCTTAAATCGGATGCATTAAATACATGTTTGATATTTTTTGGATTTTGTTTGATCTAATATATATTTAACATGCTATTTCATAAGTCTTATAATACACAATGTATTTTTTATTATATTACCGGTCTAATGAGTGACCTAACGATTGAATCAATGATCTATTTAACTTGAACACTTTCCCAAGTTGACGTTTGGACCGACTTTTAAAATTATGCGTGAGTCGCCCAGAGATACTTGTTTTATTTACCGGTCTAAGAGCATTTCCAACCCTGCTCTTTAAAAAAGTTAGTCAAAATATATTTAAATATTATATTCACTATTTTAACTAATTATTTTTATAAATTCATTCCAACCACACTCTCTATTTTAATTAACTACTACACCCAACTTTTATTTACTTCTAATAATTTAAAAAAAGTAAAACATATATATAGAGATAAAAAAAGATAGAGAGAATTTAAGGAATTCAAAAGGTTCACCATATTTGGTGAGCCATTTAGGTTAACAAAGAAATAGAGAGCCGGTCGAAAAGAATTCTTTTTTTTATGGCTACCTAATAAATAGAGTTTGGGTTAGAGATGGTGTAATACATATGGCTTCATAAGTACGCACTTGCCCAACTGCCTTCGCTGGATGAATCCATTCCCCATCAATTTGGATGGTCTTTAAGAACGCTTACAGCATCGTATCAAAGTTCCTTCAAACTATTGTCTGAATCTGAATACTACCCTCACTCTCTCTCTCTCTCTCTCCTTAAACCCCAGACAAAGCAAGCTAGGGTTTGGTTCAAATCATTCAAGTCTTGCTCTGGTTTTCTCTCTTTTCCTCCGAAAATGTTCAAGAAGTGAGTCTTTTTTCTCTCTTCTCAGAATTTCACCATCTATTTTGTTTGACTGTGTATTACTCATTTTCATACAATTACTCTGGCTTTAGTTTAAATTTGTCATAACTGATTTAGCATTGTTCTGTTTGCTTCATATTATTGCAGGATTGGTTTATAGATGGTAGTTCGTGCATTTGCGCTTAGTTGTTTTGTACCTTAAGGCTCTTAATTTGTTATATAAATTTTGTGCTTTATTTTTGTTTCTTACGGTTTTCTAGGGGAGCATATCACGTTGTTTTGTTATTTATTAAGTTTTGTTGGGGGAACGGAACTACATTATTGGGTTCTGTTTGTTGTGTTTGCGGTTTTGGTGATTGGTGTGGTAAATATGGGATATTTTTGTGTAAGGTCATAGATTCAAGTAAGTTTTTGAACCCTGAAAGGGAAATTTTGGGCATGGAGCAGCACTCAGGATGAATACTTTGTAGATATGACAATGAATTTTGCCCCTTTTACCATGTTATACTTACAGTCATTCCTAAAACACACACACACACACACACACACACATGCACACACAACAAAAACTTTTAATACCAAAATCACGAGGATAGCTTTAAAATTGTTAGAAATCCTAAAGGGTGTCATTGTAGCTATGGCCTAAGGGAACAATTTGGACGGGAACATAAGTACCCATCCCATGCCCAACTTGGTTTAGGTTTAAATGTGAAAGAAATCACTACTTGATTTAAATTTGAGAAGTTCTGTTTCTTGAGTTTTCTGATCCAATCTGATTCCAGATGCAACATGGACTGAGTATGGATTTCAATTTGAGTTGTAAATTCACTTTTAATCCAAATTAAAACTGAGGGATTGAACCCAAATTTAAAAATAAAAGAGATGGAAAGAAAAGATGGAATCCTAATCAACACTACTCTCATACCTGCCTATGCTATTTTTGGTGCTGATGCTCACCTGCTTAAGAGTGTGGATTATGACACTTCTAACAGTGATGCTCTATTTCATTAAACATTCAAAGTTATTGTTGTGAGTGATACATGAACCCTCATAATTAAGGGTTTGATTAAACATCCTATTTGTGAGGCCACTACTTCCTTTCAACCTGGACTTTCATAAATATCCAAGGACGCATGTGACTATCTCCACAGTTTCACTACCAAGGGAAGAACACTCTTGACAAAGGGGCTTCTAGGGCCCTTCAATTTTAAGGATACATCTAAATATTAATAGATAGCACAGTGGACGCTCTTGCCAGTGAAGGCCGGTTAGTAACATTTTCTCATAACAAGCATAGCGTGAATTTAGACCACTGCCTCATGTTATAAGAGCACAACTTATTTGGAAAGATTAAATTATTGGAGGGGAGTAAAATTAGCCGAGACCTCATTTGCGGAGGCTTTTAGGGAGGCAACTTCAATTATAGGAAGTTATTTTTAGTATGTAGTTAGATCCTCTACGATTCTCTCTACTAGATATGCTTGATTATAGAAAGATTTTCATAACGGTAACATTGTTCTATTGTGATAAGATCGTTGAGAGTTCAAGTCGTGGGAATGGCCTCTTTGAATGTTGGGGTAAGGTTGCGTATATATGAGCGTCCCCAAAGCCCGCAATGTCGGAAACTTCGTGCACTGGGTTACCCTTTATTTGTCACTTGAGAGAAATGGAGGAAGATAATCAATGTTTTAATAGGAAGTTAAAAATTTCCAATTACAAGCATTGCCTGTACATTGAAATGTTATATTTTCGAATTCTTAGTTAGGAAATGAAGTCACATATGAAAAGCGGACCATACCAAAAAAAAAAAGAAAAAAAAGAAATACATCTCCTGGTTTATGTGCTCATGTGTCTTCGGTATAAGTATTTAGTCATGGAGAACAGGTGGGCAAAAGGTCACCAAAGGAGAGAGATGAAGGTTATCAAGATATAGGTGATTGCCTCATTCCATTTGCAAAATGTGAGTTTGAGATTTATAAGAAGTTGATTGAATTTTTGTATCTTTGCGGTACATATTTTGGCATTTTCCCTATTTTTTTTTTTTTTTCATAATCTCCAACCTAAAAGCCTTTTCACTATTTAGTGAATCTTGGCAACCCAAATGCCAAGTGCACAATAACGAAGCCTTGAATTACTTTTGAATTTCATTTTGATGCGAACACCACCGAATTCCCATGGGGTCCTTTTTTTGTCTTGTTCTACACCATGACGAAGCCTTGTTGATTTGGGGATTTTGGGAAGAGTGATAATTATGAAAACTATTTGCCTTCTGCCGTCCTGTTATAGAGAGTTCCATATTTCTTGGGAAACCTTGTTGGAGATGCATGAGCGAAAGATGGATATCCTTTGCTTTATGAATGTCAATCTGGGAGTGCTATATATTTTATAAATTTTCTTCTTGGATCTTTGACCTTTAACTAACAAAATATTCTGAATTGCATAGCAAGGAATTTTTGAAGGAAATATTGAGCTTTGGTTTATGTTGTATGCTAGTTTTCCACTTTTAGGAATGTTGAGGTGGGCTATCAACAGAAAATCATTTATATACTAGCATGCAGATATGACATATCACTTAGCTTAATATTATTGCATTTAATTTTGGGTTGCCATTATAGCGTTTTGTTTTGTCATTTTGTTGATTCTATTATTGCATCTTCATAACCAAAGACTTCATTATAACCTATATATTTTTCCTATTAATAATTTATAGGTTCTCTTCTGAGGATGTGTCTGCACAAAATCAAGTGAAGGCATCTGTGCAACGGAAAATCCGACAAAGCATAGTAGAAGAGGTGTTCGTACTGTTGGCTATTCTTTTTGCCTCATGTTTTACACCTATTATCTGTGGATGACTGACTGTTTGTGGAATTAGTTTACAAGTATTTGATTTGATGACACTACTGCTTTCTGTTGCAGTACCCAGGACTTGAACTTGTTTTGGATGATTTGCTGCCAAAGAAGTCCCCTCTCATTGTTGTCAAATGGTATTCTTTGGCCTAAGGTTTTTTTTACACCTTTCTTTTCCTATATTGTTCGCTAATAATATGAGACTTTTTCTGACTCATTTTTGTTTTGTTTTTTTTTTTCCTGGCGTTTTAGTCAAAACCATCTGAATCTAGTCGTGGTGAATGATGTTCCACTGTTTTTCAACTTACGCGATGGACCTTACATGCCTACCCTACGACTTCTTCATCAGTGTAAAGTATTTTATTGTTTTACAGGATATGTTATGTTGTGCATCAAGGTTTTTAGGTTCGTGGCATGTTATGCATTTACTATATAAGATTGGTATTCTTTTTCATTTATGGGATGTTACAATCTTGCTCTAAAACAAACCAAGCTACGAGAGCTTAGCTTGAGATCGACATGTATAAAACTTGATTGAGCTCATTAATGAAGAAAATGAGCCAATGTTAGACAACTATTGAAGCTCAAGATTTTTTTTGAGCCTAAGCTCGGCAGCAGAGTCTTTCGCTCATCAGATTTAGGAGCAAGTGGTGTAGCGTTGGGTGGTTCCAGTTAGTTAAGGTTTCTGCTTGAAATGTAATCCTTTGATGGGCCAATGATACGATGTGGAACATATTAAGAGGCGAAAAAGTTGGCCATGAAGTACTTAGCTATAAAACCATGTCAGGAAATAAGTGTCAAACATTGTATCATGTTGTCAAATTACTTTCTCAAGCAAATGAGTAAGATGACTTGTGTTCGACTAGGGAGACTTTTCTGGGATGATGTATGCTTGTGTCTTCTTTGAAATTGGGTTGTGCTGCCTGCAAACAGCTTGAGTTTCTTATGACCCGAGCTCAATTGAGCTTTCTAAAATTTTGCTAGGGTTTGAGCCAAGGTTGATCTAGGAATACATTTACCTGTTTGATTTTTATGATAAAAAGTCCTAAAAACAAGCCTACATCCAATACTTAGGTTACTCTGCTCGGTTAACTTGGATAAAGATCTATGTTCCTTGAGTGGCCTATGTGGATTAGATTCACATGTGAACATAAATTTAGTGCTAAGAAGAAAGTAAGGCATATTTGGTATTGGTGCCTTTTCATCCTTCTTTATTTTTTTTTGTTTAAAATTTATGAAAATTGAAAAATGGAATTTTTTAGATAATGATAATTTCGAGGTCTTTTTAATTTTTGGACTCAAAAACTGCCTTCACTATTTTCCCAGTAACAGGCTGTTTACACAAAATCCTTTTTCAAATAGTTTTTGTAATGATGCGCCAAATGCCATTCCCCATTTGAATGTACAATTGTTGTCGCGGAAACCCTATCGGGAAAAACCACGGGGAACCATTCATGGTTCAATAAACCTAATCTACTAGCCCAAAATCAGTTTACAAGTACTCGAGACCTATACCTTAATCAATATCATGGTTAGACGCGCTTTTCATTTAATAAACGTCTCATCTAGATTCCCCAAAAGAGCTATGAGCAATTTTTACTTGAATGCCTCCATTGTTATTGATCATTTAGATTTTTCGAGCGACCTTCTTTGCCAAGATCCTCGGGATGCACACTCCTTCAATGGATTTTGTGATTCCAGGCAAGAACTTTTTCTTCAATGTGTGATGTTGAATGAAGATTCAAGATGGATTACCTTAAGGGTTGTTTGGTAACGTTTTTGTTTTTGTGTCTTCAAAAAATCAAAAACAGAGATAATTTTTGTCTCTGTTTTGTGGTAAACACTGAAACAGAAAATATGTTTGGTAGTCATTTTTGTCTATCAAATTATGAGAATAAAAACAGAAAACATGTTTGGTAACTATTTTAAGTTTTATCCTAAATATGTTTTATAATATCTCATTTTTTGTTTTCAAACAAATCAACACTTTATTTCATAAAAAATGATTTACAACCATGAATTAAAGACCTTCAACAAAGTACCAATCTTGCACAACCAGATTTCTGAAAAAATTAGCCATGGAATTTACCACCCTATGCACATGCCCAAGCTGATATTACAAGAACACCTAAAAGAGGAACCCAACTCACCCAAAAGGCCTTAACCTGCACCTTACCACAATCAATTCCCAAATCAGACAACCTAAATAAAATACAAATAGACGTTATATTACATAAAAATACAAATTCAAACATTCCTTAAACCAAAACATCCACTAATTTATCAAATAACATTTAAAGAAAGATAGTTATATTACATAAGTCAATAATTACATTCATACATCATAGTGTCCAACATACATCCCCTAAGTTTAGACATTAATACGTCATATCACTTAACTAAAATTTCAATAATTAATACAAATACCACGAACAATAATGCACAAATAAAGATCAAATTATATCCACAACAAGCAAGCATGAAAATAGTAATCCATTTCTTCTCTCTCCATCTTGACTGGGCTTGATTAATCACATGCTGTTCATTTGTAATTGTGTTGTACTCATCAACCCATATGAAACAATTATCATGCTCACGCCATCATGGACAACGATAAAAAGCTCGTCCATTATTTTGTTTGGTCCTTGCGACCAAAATATTTATGTTCCCGGATCCACACGAGCATGGAGGGCCAATATGTGCCATTATAACACAACTAATTACATTAACATCAACAAGTAAAAATTAGTCATATAAACATATTATTGAATATAACAATGCAAGTATCCACACATTTTTACCATCATAATAAATAATAACATTAGGACATTTATCAATGGTGAGTTGATGCCCAATTGTATCTCTGACACGAGTCATTTGACGCAGCTGACTCAGACATATGTCTAATTCTATTGGGACCAGTGAACTTGATCCAACAACAGTTCTTTCACTATCAACAAATTCTCTTCTTTTTCAGTCGTCAAATAACTGATCTTGACGAGAATGCATTCTTATGAAGTTATGCACTGTACAACATGTTGTGGGAATGTATTTCTGTGTGGTTAAAGGATATGGAGACATTAGTTTCAGAATGGAAAAACGAGCTTTTAGAACTCCAAAACAATGCTTTATCACATTCCAAAGCTAAGAGTGCCGATGATTGAATAATTCTTCTTTACCGGTTGGTTGTTGACCCCTACCTCTATAATCACGCAAGTGATATCTCTTACCACGATACGGGGACAGAAAACCAGACATGTTTGTGTAGCCCGAATCCACAACATAATATTTACCCTCTGGCGGTATTAGAAACTTGTTGGCTGGATTAGCAACACACTCAGCAAATATTTTTGAGTTATGAGCAGTACCTTTCCACCCACTCATCACAAATATAAAGCGTATGTTAAATGAACATGCACATATTACATTCTGAGTTGGTACAGTATAATTTCCACGGTATGGTATCGGCGAATCCGCTGGAACACGTGCATTAACGTGGGTGCCATCAATGACGCCAACACAATTCTTCAAAGAAAAAGAAAAATACATGAATGACATTGAAAGTAGTATTTTGTTACCACATATATTGCAAATTACTATCATTTACCTTAAAGAAAGGGTAATATCTTGGGTTGAAACAAATCTGAGGTTGAACCATACTAAAATCGGGGGGGGGGGGGGGGGGGGGCGCGGATGATATTAACTCCAAGCCTATAAACTGCTTTCAGAACACGATTAAAGTATTTGAAAATGGTCTCCCTCGAATGCTGAAACCTTTCAGCTACTATGCGATTTCGCTCATTATGTGATATTGTAAGTAAAAATATAACAACTTGTTTTTGCACGGTTACAAACCTGGAGTGTTTCAACTCTTTTTCTTTTAATGTCTCACACAACAATATGAACAAAGGTGTGTCTATTCTAAATTACTCATAACACCTACTTTCATGTCCATGTAATAGCTCCAATACATAATCATGTCATTTAAGAGCAGACGTTCTACATAGTCGTAGTGATGTATTGTAACTATCTAATTCTATTGCAGTCAATACAATAGAAATCTCATAATCACTATCTAATATGGGCACATCAAATTCTTCATCTGAATTCATTATTGAATATTCAAGTTTACCAGTAATATCCATACATAATGCACTTATCTAACATTTATCACAGTACATTATAAATACGCATAATAATTAAACTTCAATCCAAAAACACGCATAATGCCAAAGTACACAGACTCTAAAAGTACACATAATACTAAAGTACACATAATCTCAAAGTACACATCAAAAATGCTAGGCTAAAGTACAACCATCAGAAGTTAGTAACAAAATCCTTCATCCTATGATCTGGCATAGACAAGAACATCTTCCTATAGCTCATACCATCTCCAAATAGCTTAATGACTTGTGTATGAAGTTCCATCAATGTCCTCGAGAGAATTCAAAGCAGCCACATATTTTTCTAACAGATCATTAGTAACAGCCTCACTATCACCACAATGAAGTCGTCGCCATAGACGCACTAGACATCTTATAATCAATATACTCTGACTTTTTGTTTGAATTCTCAACCAACACATTAAGGGCAGATGTAAGTGCGTCCTCATAATTATCCTTCTTCTTACGACGACTGGTTGTTGGAGTGGTAGACCTACTTCGAGGATGGTTGTTTGTCCCTTTATCAACTTTCTCCACTTTCTCCTCATCATCATCAACCTCAAGTGATGGATCAAAGGTTGGGTCTTTATTGTCCGATGGAGGTTGGGTGGATGGATGAGCATTTTCATGTTAACATCATGTAAGTGCAAACATGTAACATATATAAGCAATGCTAAACTATTATGCTGGAGAACCTATAGATTTATTAAAGACAAAACACAAGAAGTTCTCCCCGGTGTTTACAAATAAAATAACAAGTGAAAAGTATATAAAGAAAATAATGTGATTTTATGCCAAGTTTGTAAATATACTTCCCCCCTCCCCCGAGTTAAGTCAATAAACTTCCCCTTAATATATATTCCAATGCAACAAAATCTAGCTAGTCGATCAAATGTCATCCCTATTAACTCTAATACTTCTTTTTGTCACAAAGTGTCAAATCACAATAGTAACAAGCAAGTAGAGATCATCGTATAAAAGAGATAAGTATGGAAAACATCTATCATGGATATACACACTAGAATAAGAAAACGACAAAACAAGCCATATACTCAAGTCTAAACGAATATAATCATTTAACAACAAGACTCGTGTATGTCACCAAACAAACGAAAATAAATAAAAGGAAAATAAACAAAAGAAAACAAGAGTACTTTAATGCAAGACCATGAATAAATAAAAACTCTCAAAACTCCCATATAGTCATATACTAAGTCTCTGAACTTCAACAACTCAGGTGGCTACGAGATTGTGTTGTAAACCTAAGTCA